GAGGTGTGTATACACATACATATATACATACATATACGTGGCAATTTTTATCAGCTTCTAGGACTTTATTTACTAGAAACAGATTATTTTCAAAAGGCCAGGACTGTGCTATATTTTTGTGCTTTATTGGTGATTAAACAACATAAAATATTTCTCCTTCAATCATGAGGTGACTAATTTAACTGTCAGATACACAAGGCTAAATGTCAAAAACACGTGTTAAAAGGCCCTAATATGCCATGTTCAACTTGATTAACAGCAAACTCTCAGAAATCCCAACAATGTGCTCTTGTTTTCAGCTTATTTGCATTGGCAAGGGCCTCTCTGCCCAAATCTGGCTCCTTGTGGGTCTAATCTCGGAGCACTTTATCTCGGGTGCAAGAGCCCCTGGCAGTTAGCTACAGGGCCCCCATCACCCTTCCTCGGCCTCATCTGATAACAGATGGTAGCCACAGCAAATTTCTAAATATTGCCTCCTGAAAACTGTTACTGCTACTTCTAGATTAGCATGAGAACTAGTGAGGAGGAGGAGAAGGAGGAAAAGGAGGAAGAGGAGGAAGAGAGCAATGACAATGATGATGATGATGATGATGATGATGATGATGCTGATGATGATGATGAATAGCTAACATTTCCATAGCACTTCAAAGTTCACAAGGAACTGTAGAGTACTCATTTATCCTCTCAACAAATATCACAAGGAACTTTACAGTACTCATTTATCCTCACAACAACTTTTTGAGGCAGACATAATTATTATCCCTATTTTAAATATGAGAACACTGAGGCTGAGAAAGGTATGGTGACTTGCCCAGGGTCACACGGCTGGATTTGACTGTAAACACCTGAGACAGGATTTGAACTCAGGTCTTCTTGACGTCGTCTAACACCAAACCACGTAGCTGCTCCCAACAGGTAAGAAGCACTTGCTACTACTCACCAGCATGGCCCAAACATGAGCCATGCCAGGTTCACTTGAGCCAAGGGTACTCCATGGCAGCCAACGAATTTCTTGGCTACCTTGAAAGAGGTCCAGAAAGAAGGGATAGTTGCAGTATACCCTGCTTTGGCCAGACAAGTGCCTGGCACACAGTAGGTGCTTAATAAATGTTTATTGAGTGATTGACTACATCTACATTTTAGGAAGAACATACAGTAAATATGTTGGATCGTGTCCAGCCAAAGATGACCAGGATGATGAAAGGACCAGGGAATGTGCCACACAAAGGTTATTAGAGGGAACTAGAAACATTTATTCTGAAGAAAAGAAGATTTAGAGATGGAAAAGTAGTTTTCGAAAACTTAAATGGGCAACATTTAGATGACTGATCCAATTTAATAGGCTTTGGCCCAGAATTAAGCTATTAATCAATCAATTAACAAGTATTTATTAAGCACCTACTATGTGCCAGGCATTGTCCTCAGTGCTGAGGACAGAAAGATATAAATGAAAGTCCCTCAGGCCCAGAGAGAGGCAATGGGTAGAATCTGCAGAGGCAGAAATGTGGCCTAACAAAGACGTCAGAGAGTGCAATGGTGGCCTCAGGAGGGAGAGGCTCACCATCACTTCTGACTCAAGGGAGAATGCTGGAGAAGTGCAGACTTGAAGGGTTCTGAGCTCCCTGCTAAGTCTAGAATTTCTGTCTTTCTGCATATGTGTCCCACCATGGTCATACAAGACAAAGGATGCCACATTTGCCGTCTGAGAAGACAGGGAAGGGGGGGAAGATGGGGACTGAGGGGCCATCACAGAGCATCAGTGCAGAGCAGAAGAGGATGCACGGGACCAGGAGACCAGAGGCCTGACTCTGGAATCACCCGATCAAGTCACTTCCCAGCCTGGAGACTCAGGGTCTCATGGATAAAGGAAGATGCTCAGACCAGATGCTCTCTCAGCTTCTTCCCAGCTTCAAAGTGATTTTCCCAGGGGCGGGAGTAAGCTTTGTGGGCAGGAGGTGTTTTGTTTGTTCCTTGGTAGCCCCAGGACCTACTATAGCACCTGGCATACAGCAGGTACTTAATAGATGCTCAGTGGCCTACTGATTAGGGAATTCTATGGCCTCCGCTTGTCTCTCCTCAGCATTTCCTTCCACAAAACAAGCAGAATGCCGCTTTGCCAGGACACAGCTTGAAACCCGGCCTGGGTCGGCTCTCATGTCTACATTTTGCTTTTCAGTTTTTCTTAAAGGCCTGACCTTGAACTCGACCTCAATCTATCAATCATGAATGTGGAAGAATGGGCAATGTGAGATCAGCAGAGCTCAATCACTTGTTTAGAGAAAGGAATTTAAAAGAAGGGAGGAAGTGAGTGTCAAATAAGGCAAATTCTAACAGGAAGAGGAAATAATACTAGTTAGCACTGATATGGTGCTTATTGTATGGGAAGCACTGTGATGAGAGCTTTAAAATACTATCTTATTATCTATATTATCTCATTGTATCCTCACAATGCTGGGAGGTGGATACTATTAGCATCCCCATTTTACAGATGAGGAAACTGAGGCCAACAGAGGTTAAGTGACTTGCCCAGGGTCACCCAGCTAGTAAGTGGCTTAACCATCTCCCTGCTACCAGGCTTCCCAAGAGGAAAGGAAATGAAGGAGGCAGCCCTCAGCTCTATCACCTATGAACACACTGGGACATTATTGCACCCTAAGAAATAGCGATGAAAATGAATTCCGAGAAACCCGGGGAAGAGTGTATGAAGTCACATGGAGGCAAACACAAAGATCCAGCAGAGCTGCAGGCACACGGACTGCAAAAACACAGCAAAGGTCACACTAATAGAAAACTGAACCCAGATTAATGATCCATCGGGGTTCCAGAGAAGACCCGAGAAAGAGCTGGATATGAACGTAGGAAAACAAAGGGAAACTTCCACTTGGAGGACGCATTCAGACTCACACAGTGCCTTCTGCACATTCTCTACTTAAAAATTCTGTACAGTGGAAAAACTGCCCTCTCTAAAGTCAGAGGCCCCAGTCGCAAGTCCCAGCTCTTCCATGTTACGTGACTCTTGACAAGTCAACTTTGGCCTCAGTTTCCTCATTTGCAAAATGAGGGAGTTGGATTGGAAGGGCTCCGAAGGCCCTTCCTGCTCTACACCTGTGGTCCTATGATCTTCATGACAATTCGGTGGTGTAGGCACTTTATTATTCCTACTTTACAGATCAGGAAACCAAAGTTCAGAGAGGTCTAGGGATTTTCCCAGAGTCACACAGCTAGTAAGGGTCAGAAGTGGGATTTGGACCCAGGTCTTCCTAATTCCAAGGCCAGCACTCTAACTCCTGTGTCTCTCTCAGGATGAAACCCTCTGCCTTCACCCCAGTAAAGGGACGGGACAGAAGGTGCCAGATACCACCCAAAGCAGTTGCCCACCATTGGCTGGCTTGGCTTAACTGTTTTTTCTGCATTACAAGAGGCTTGAATGGAGGGAGCTGGTATCTGGGTGAATGACTGTGATGTTGAAAAAAAGGCGGCCGATCAAACACTTCAGAAACACTTAGGATCCCATTTAACTAAGCGTGCAAGCAAACATTCCGAGGTCCGTCCACACATGTGCTTCAGGGGATTGGAAGAAAGGGCACAGAGAGGTGACCCTCGACTTCTGTCACACCACTTCAAAATTAAATACCAAATGAGTAGAGAAGTAATGATTTAATCATATGTCTTGGAAAGCCCAATTTTAACATAAAATGACTTGACATCTTCTTGAAATAAACCTGTCAACGCAGAAAAACTATTTCCCTTGCCTTGAAAAGTCATTTTGATTATTTTACAAAGTCACAAGTTATGTACTACACTCCACACAGTTGGATTGCTTTCGAACACTCAGGAACTTTAGAACTCCTTTCACCTTACAGATGAGGAAACCGAGGCCCAGAAAAGAGAAATGTTTTATGCCAGGTCATTCAGCTGACCAATGGCGTAGCTATGCCATGGCTAGAACACATCCCAGGGCTCCTTTCCCTACACTGCTGTCCTTTGCCAATTATTACTCATTGACCATTGTTGAACATGGCAGATGGCAACATTGCTTTGACTCAGGCTAGAAAGAAGGACCAAAATTATCTTTCCAAGACGGAGAGAAAATCTTAATGTTCTCCTTGGCCTCAACCTACCTTTCCAGACTCTTTCTACATCCCTTTGTACACCTCAGCTCTGTCTCAGAAACCTTCTCTTCCTTAAAGACTTAGCTCAAGCATCTCCTTCTACTGAAAGCCCTTCCTGATCACCTCTCCCCCAAGTGCCAGTGGTCACCCTCCCAAACTACCATGTATTCATTTTATATTTATACTTAGCCTACTTACACACACACACACACACACACACACACACACACACACACACACACACGCACATTGTCTCCCCTAAGAGAACGCAGCCTCCCTGAAGGCAGGGACTGTTTCCATTTTTGCCCTTGTATCCCCAGCACCTAACACCCTACCTAAGACACAGTAAATATTTAACAAGTGCTTGCTGATTGTTAAGTTAATTAATTCTACTAAAATATCTTGGACTAAATTGGAACAAAGCCTCCTGCTGAGCACAGCTTTTTGATTTTCTTCTAAAATAAGGTGCTAAATGTGCCTTTTGTTTCAAGTTAGGCCTGAAAACACACATATGTTAATGAAGTAGCTTTGAAAAGTATGGGGCCAAATCCCCCATCTACCAGGAAGGAATCTTTTGCCTCTGGATCAGAGTCACACTTGGTACCTGCCTGGCACCATTTTCCATCTTGAATTCCCATTAAGAATGTGCCTATCTTTTCTCTCTACCAGCCTGTCAGCCCCTTGCAGGCAGGGGCTTCTGCAGCAAGCCAAGATCCTGCCCCACCCCCCCCCCCCAGGAGAATGGAGGCCCTCTGAGGACAGACACTCTTTTGTTTCATTTTTGCCTATTTAGTGAGTGGAACAGGGGTTGGTAGTTACTCCAATGAATGACGAGCCACAGAACGGACTCTCCAAGCCCTGTAAAGTGAGGGTCCAGAGGAAGGTCACCTTTTCAGACAAAGCCTCTTCTAATGTCGCAAGGGCCGTGTCGGTGTTACTGGAATCCGTCTGCAGAGACTTCACACGGTCCTTCAGGTTGCTCAGCTGTTTGTCCTTGTCTCTCACTTGTTCTTGCAAGTTTTCTATCTACAAAGAGACAAAAAGCAGAGGAGTCAGTCTACGTTGGAGGACAGTACTGGGATCTTGCTTTGGGATAGTCTCACGTCAAAACTGGTCACCAAGGGGCAGCAAGGTGACGCAGTGGATAGAGCACCAGCCCTGAAGCCAGGAGGACCTGAGTTCAAATCCAGCCTCAGATCAAACACTTGACACTTACTAGCTGTGTGACCCTGGGCAAGTCACTTAACCACAATTGCCTAAAAAAAAAGGGCCACAAAGACATGAGAAGGAACAGAGGAAAGGGACTAAGCCTGGGATTTTAGTCCTACTCCAATATGGAACACCCAGATGGGTCAACGTGGAGAACTCAAAGGGGCCTTGAAGGTCATCGAGGCCAACGTCCTAAGAGGGAAAGTCACTTGCCCAAGTTGACAAGGGGGTAACTGACAGAACCGGGATTAGAGCCCAGGTTTTCTGACTCTGAATCACGCATTCCTTCAAATGATAATAAATCATGTGAAAAACATTTGGGAATCCTCAAGTCTTGGCACTGGGGTGGGGTGTAAGACACAGGAAGAGTCCAATCTTGTAATTTCATCAATGTCAATGGGTACAGGAAAGGAAACACCACATCCCAAATCAAACCAGAAGCTGTTCTTTCAATGGGGTATTAGAGAGGTGTCCCCAGGCCATTCTTGAAAGCATCCAATTCCTTGGGGAGTTAATTCCCTCCACTTTGAACCTGCTACTCAGGGAACTGTGCCCTGATTGGTGACTGACTGAGCCCATTCTCAATGAGCTCACTCAATCCAGCCAGCCCCAGACCACCAGAGCAGACCATTGCTCACCTTTCACCCAGCTGTCTACGCAGTCACCTTGCCATCTGCCTCCTGCCTGACTTCAACCTCCCCATATCTCATTTGGGGTTTAGAAACCAAACTCAGCTTACCATTGTTCCTGGAAAGGGCATGTCAATTATGATCACCTCACCAAGTCTGAGACTCCCTTCCTCGACCACCACTCCTAAAGATGTGTCCTATTCCCCACCCCTGTACATAATGTTAGCTCCAAGAGGGTGGGCATTGTTTCCCACAGCACTTGGTACAATGCCTGGCACACAGTGAGCAATTAACCACTTTTCATTCAGTCATTAACTCATTAATATGAACATGGCAGTATTACAAACAGAGAAACTGAAGCCTAGAGGGATCAAAGGAATTTTCAATATTACAGCTGCCCACAGCGGCAGCTTTCCTGGTCTCCATCACAATATGGTGACGAAATCTCACATTAACAACAAACCGCTGTCTTAGTGGTACAGACGGGCGCATCTTTCCTAATTACGCTCTAGACCCTGGTTACATTAACACTTTCCATCCAGGAAACTCAATCTGTCTCCCTAAAGTGTCGCCCCTCTCCGATCCAGCCCCAAGCATTGCTGCAAACTCCTCAAAGGTAGGAATTGTTTCATTCTTTGCATTTGTATCCCCAGCACAATAAACTCCAGGGACTCCCTATCCCTTCCAGGATCAAATATCAAATCCTCTGTTTGGCATTGAAAGCCCTGCACAACCTGGCCCCGTCCTCCTTCCCTCCTTCCCAGTGTTCTCACACTTTGCGCTATCCTGCACCCTTCTCCGAGATCGTATGACGCTGCCTTCCCCGTGGCTGGTCCCATGAGACTCTGGCTTCAGGATGCCTTTCTTAGCCCCCTCACTCTATTGATCATTTCCAGTTTATCCTGTCCACATCTTCTTTGTCCATGTTTGTTTGCATGTCGCATCTCCTCTTAAGTGGCCTCCCACACCTGGAATACCCAGCCCTCACTTCAGTCTCGTGGATCCCCCAGCTCCCTCCAAAGCCCAGGGGGCTCAAGGGCCATGTCCTGAAATTGGCCTCTCATCATCTTAGTTCTCATCGCTCCCCTTGGACACCCGGGAAGAAAGGAGGTGGCATTGATACTATAGACAGTGTGCGTATACTAGTGCCTTTCCTCTGTACACGTGGGACCCTCCACTCTTCAGCTCCATAAAATAGAAGCCCATTGAGGGCAGAGACTTTGGGGGATTTGTCTAACACATTACTTAGAACACAGCAGGCATCAAATAAATGCTTTTTAAATGAATTAAATTGCTGACCATTTCACATGCATTAGAATCCCATCAGAAGTTTTTTTTCTACATCTAACTCATATTTCTTGTATTATTTTAGTAGTTTTTTCCATCTTTTCTGGCAATGAAAAAGAATAGAACAAAAAAATCCAATATCCTCCCAATTATAACATTCCCAGTATTTGAATGTTGCTCACTATTCCACATCCTCGGTTCTAACTGACTCCAATTCCATTCATCTTCCTTCTCTCGTAAGTCTCATTTTCCTAAAGCCAACACTGGTAGAAAGCTTTTTTATTTTCCAAGTAAATGGGATTCCAGGCATTCTCCCAGTAACACTGGCCAAAATCACATCAGAATGGCCAAATCACCAAGCTGCAAGAGACCTCAGTGGTCGATACTTGCAAGGACCTCAGTGATTGGTACCTGAAAAATGATTCCATCTCCAAGAGACCCAACGAGTGATCATTCAACTTTTGCTTGGAGACCTCCAAGGAGGGGGATTCCACTACCTCTAGAGACAGCCCATTACAGGCACAGAAACCTCTGACACAGATGATATAAAGGGAAGCACACTGTTACATGGGTCAGGTAGATGGCCTTCCAGACTGACTCAGTATGCGCTAATGCAATAGGAAATAGTTTGTGCTGCAATTATTTTAAGGAATCTACAGGCCAAGTTGCCTAGGTTATCACCAGTAGACCACTAATGGGACAAACCTGAGATAGAAATCAAATTTAACAAGTACTAAACACTACACTTGGCAAACAAATGCTATCCTGGCATCTAACCAGCCACTTTTCTCCATTATCTCCGGCTTGAAATAAGCAGGAGGAACTGTAAATGATAAGTTTTACACATTAGTAGCTGTAGGGGTCCTCTCCTGGGCATACTGTTGCTGTCTCACTCATGTTTTTATTCTCCCTCGCTTTCCAATCATGCACTTCTTATCTAAGGATTTAAAAAAACCCACTAGACAAACAATGTATTCCTATTAAGAGTTTTAAAATGTCTAAGGGAAAAGGCAGTTTAGCTTCGAGATAAGTTCATTCAAAATATTTTATTCTGCACTGAGCTTTCTCTGCAATCATTCCAGAAGGAATTTTTCCAATACGTGTCTAATCCAAAGACACAGTTCCCAACATCTAGGATTGGCACTTTGACACAGAATCATAGAACCTCAGAGTTGAAGGCCTTAGAAGACATCTAATCCAGCCTAAACGACACTCCTCTAGACAACTTTCCTAGTGATGAATGGTTATCCAGCCTTCACTTCAGTGACAGGACTCTTTCTTAATCAATCAATCAATCAATCAGTAAACATTAATTAAGCAACTATTATGTGCTAGGCACTGCACTAAACACTGTGGGGTACAAAAAGAGTCAAAAGACAGTCCCTGGCCTCAAGGAGTTTATAAGACAAAACGCATACAAATATATACAAAGCAAGCTACATATAGGAAAAATAGGAAATAATCAACAGAAAGAATGTGCTAGAGTTAAAAAGGGTCAAAATGTTCTTATCTAAACTTTGTTATCTACTCCCTAGCCTTTCAAATGTGGATTCCCACCCTTCACAGCTCTAGACCTGCTCAGATCTCCAGAGGATTCCAGCCATTGGTCTGAAGAGAAGACAATGGTCATGTCTCTGGGCTGGCTGTGGCGGCGGGGAGCAGAGCAGGTCCCCTCCAAGAGCTCAGACAAAATCAAACCCTTTGTTGGGCATGGTCTCCATATGAGAGCAGGGAGATGGAAGCAATGAATGTCATTTCCCTAGGTTTCCTTAAACAGGATTATCTGGCCTTTATCTGCATCTGGACACAATCTACCTGTCCTTCTAGTTTTCCCCATATCCATTTCTTTTTCTTAAAGTATACACAAATGCACACACATACACACATGCTAGTTAGAAATGAAGAGGTGTGTTATACCAATCAAACTACCAAAGAGTTATTTTATAGAGCTAGAAAAAATAACAAAATTCATCTGGAAGAACAAAAAGTCAAGAATATCAAGGGAATCAATAAAAAAACATGAAAGAAGGCAGCCCAGCAGTACCAGATTTCAAACTATATTACAAAACAGTGATCTTGAAAACAATCTGGTACTGACTAAGAAAGAGAGTGGTGAATCAGTGCAATAGCTCAGGTGCACAATACACAGAAGTAAATGACCATAGTCATCCAGTGTTTGATACCCCAAGATCCAAGCTTTGGGGGGTAAGAATTCATCATTTGACAAAAATTGCTGGGAAAACTAGAAAGCAGCTTGGCAGAAACTAAGTATAGACCAATATCTCACATTATATACCAAGAGAAGATCCAAATGGATAAATTTATTTAGACATAAAGGGTGATATCACAAGCAAATTAGGGGAGCATGTAAAATCCACCTGTCAGATCTCTGAATGAAGGAAGAGTTCATGACCAAACAAGAGATAAAGAGGACCACAGGAAGTAAAAGAGATAATTTTGATTACATGAAATTAAAAGGGTTTTACACAAACAAAACTAATGCAGGCAAAATTAAAAGGAAAACAGGAAATGAAAATTTTTTCACTGATGAAAGCCTCATTTCTCAAATATATAGGGAACTGAACCAAATTTATAAAAATAAAAGCCATTTTGCAATTGATAAATGGTCAAAGAATATGAACAGGCAGTGTTCAAAAGAAGAAATCAAAGATGTCAACAGTCACATAAAAAAATGCTCTAACTCGAAATTCAAATTAAAACAACTCTGAGATAGCACTCTACACCTATGAGATTGGCTGACATGATAGAAAAGGAAAATAACAAATGCTGATGGACATGTGAGAAAATAGGGACACTAATGCACTGTTGGTAGAGTTGTGAACTAGCCCAACTATTCTGGAGAACAATTTAGAACTACACCCAAAGGGCTAGAAAATTGTG